CCCACTTAGCTCAATCGAAGTACAGATTGTGATACATAACGTTTGAGATCATGTAAATAACAAGATTTGGGCTTAAAATTTAAAAGAAATTTGGGAAGTACCGAGCATTTAACTCGATATAGTTATCAGATATCACTGTTCATGTTTCTCGCGAGACAGTGTCTGAGAGCTCACTAAGAAATTCAAATCCCTTACCTACTCTACATTCAAAACATTCTTCCCAACCTCCGCAGCTGAGTGTGTGACGTCAAATAACTTAATCGGTGAATGAAGACAATAGAAAGAAATACATCTGAGAAACCAAGTGTGACTGTGAAAATAATAATTAAATTAATGACTAGGAAAGAATTCAATTGGTTCAGCGATAGAGTGCTGTTTTGCAGGATGAATACATAAGTAAGTTAGAAATGCTATACTCTGGAAGTACTTTGGAGTAATTTAAGTCGGCTTTGCTTATCGACGACTTGTTTCTCCACATAGCATTTGTCCTGACGGACGCTGGATATGATGTGTGGCTCGGGAATGCACGCGGAAACACATACTCCAGAAGACATGACTATCTCACTACACGTGACAAAGCATTCTGGAACTTCAGGTATGTTATTTTGCCTAAAATGTACAAGTTCTTTATGCTGTTTTTGTGGTGAGCAGTTACATTATTAAAATTTGAAGCTTATGATCTCTCTTTATGATTCAGTTTTCCTCAGTCTCTCTAGGTAAATCCGAGACTATACTTTTAATTATGCGAGGATCGTTTCCTTCCACGACCTTTCCAACTAATATAATCACATCTTTCGATTCCATAGAGTCTGAGAAACCGATAACATCACTAAATAATACAAAAATAAGTACAAGAATTAATAATTTGCTCTGTTCACAATACATATTATTTTCAATTGACATATTTGGCATATAATTTAAAATTATGATAAAATACGTAGGAATTGACGTCGATAGCGTGAGAAAGTTCACTGCACAATCATTGAGCTTCGCATACTAAAAATGATCATAATATTTGTCAATATTAAACACTATTCTATTGGCTACTAATTCACTTATTTTGTTTAAAATAATTTAGCTTAGGTTCATATTGATGATGCATTCTTAAAATATATTTAAAACTACTTAACTAAACGTAATGAAGTGAGTGAAGTCACACAGCTTCACTTGGAATTGTACTTCCGACAGAAATTATATTGATTTTATGGTATAAATTGTACTTAAAATACCGTTAGAAATTATTTCGGAAGAATGTTGAAGCAAAATGAGTGTGCCCTTATCTATCAGCGCACTTCATAATTCTCCAAAACCACTCCAACTGGGCACTAATATTTACTTCAATTTATTAGCCTACTTTCCACATTTTGAAAACAATAAAAGTGTTTTTTTGTACCACCTTGCTTGTATGTATATGTATATTATCAGTCTCTGAATACCTGAACCAATTTTATGAAACTTGGTATGTACACCTGAGCCCATCTCAACAGCCTACTTCATAAATCCCTCCCTTTGTCCTGTGTGTCTGTAATGTGTATCCACCCTGTCGTTTCTAGGACATGGTTCTGTAAAGGCGTTCCGGCGGCAGCAAAGAATTGTCCTAGAATTTATTTAGTTTTATGTTATTGATCCCTGTCTTATGACACTATAATCTGTTACATATATACTTACATTGAATAAATTTCTCGATTACAGAAAAATTTGCAGGTTTTAAAGAACAGGTTTTGCAAATTTCAATATCATTTTGATATAGCTCGTACCATCTGCGTGTTTTGCTCTTACAGCTGGCATGAGATGGGTGTGTACGATCTACCCGCCATGATTGACCACGTGCTTGCTGTTTCTAACAAACCTTCTCTGTACTATGTGGGCCACTCTATGGGCTGCACCATGTTCTTTGTGCTTACATCGAGCCTTCCTCATTACAACTCCAAGATCCGCATTATGTTTGGCTTCGCACCTGCTGCTTTCAACTCGCATGTAAAGAACGATTTGTTCAGTATAGCACAGTTCAGCAGAGTGGGGGTAAGTTACATAGTAGGTTTTTCAATTATAAATACATTTATATTAAGAGTAGGGTGCCATCCAATGAGAATTTGTGGTATTTGTGCGGCAACAGAGCAATATGAATAAACCAACGGAACTATTCACGCTGGTTTCATTTGATAGTTGCTACATGTTTCGGTCCACATTTGGGTCCATCTTCAGGCAGTCTCATCAAATACCTATCTTGTTATTGAACTGTCCTAATATGGATCCACATTAGCGCTACTTGTCACAATAACATAATAGATGTAACCATTACGAAGTTGTAAGTAATTTTCTAATTTTAAAATATTTCAAAATTTGAAATTTAAAATTATTTAATAATCTCTTGTCTTTGAATGTAAAATTCTATGTATTTCTGTGTTTTTGTCTCACACTGTAGATTGTCTTTCGCCCGTGGTTCGCTGTTATACTGTCTGCTATAGAAGCTATTCGCGAAAATGCTATTATTTTTAGTTTGTTCTCACTTTTTGGGCATGTCGCTGTGATTTTGTTTTTCCTTAAGTTGTAGTTTGTATTCCTTCTGTGAGGGCGTTTATGTCACATCTACCCGTTGAGAATTCAAAAGAAAGATCTCTCACAATTACTTACTTATAGAGCTGAGCCCTCCTTGAGAAGAAGCCAAATCTGCAGCTACTCAAGAATTTCCAACACTTTATGGAACCCGAAGTTTCATTGCCGTGTTCACAAGTGCCCTCCACTGGTCACTATTCTGAGCCAGATCATACCAATCCATACCATTCCATCCTATCTCTCTAAGATCCATTTCAATATTGTTCACACACTTACTCCTTGATCTTTCCAGTGGTCTCTTTCCTTCTAGCTTTCCCACAAATATCCTATATGCATTCCT